TTTGAATGTAAATTATAAAATAATGAATGTAAAGAACTGAGCGAGAAGAAGAAAAGGATGTTTTTGGATATAAATAGGAACTATGAAATTGACATCAGCACATGTACAAGGACTTTTTTTTCCGAATAAATGAAGAAAAGGTCGCTTTTTGTAGTGTAAACACTTTGACTTTTAAATTTACATGCCAAAAGTCTTTTAAACCCTTTCTGAATGTCTTCACATCACAGCCATTGTTATTTCTTGACATAACAAAAGCAGTTCTGAAAAACTTTTTGAATTTTCCACACAATTAAGGATGATATGCAAAAATCACTTTTACTCATTTCAACATAAACAGCCTCATTCATGTCTATTTTTTTGAAAGCTATTACAAAACTTCATTCACAGAACATTTTGACTCTTTCTTGCTTGGTGTGACTTTTGGAAATTGAAAGGATTTTTATTTTCAGATTAATTGTTTTATAATTTGCTGAAAATGATTTTTGTTGTTATAATTGCGTTAAATAACACACGTTAAAGAATTGAAAGCACAAAAGATCTTGCAGAGCTTATTAATTATTCATTTTGCTTTGATTTCTGAATGTTTGAAGGAAATGTCGATGACTGGGATTTTTAAAAACTCTCTAAGGTTTGTGAGGCGTTGATGAAGATGCTTTAAGTGTGAAATTTTGGAGTTCCAAAACCAATTGTTGGAGGTTCGTAATTAAAGCCCCACCAACGTTACTAATTAGAGTAAAAGATTTAAGTTCACGTAAGTCAAAATGAAAGACATTAAACATTCAAATACTTTAAAAGTTTGTTTATATCGACCCTGATTCGCATCATTATATTTTCTATTATCATTTAAATGTCTGTTAGCAGACACAAAACAGTAAAAAGATAGGAACAACAATTTAACATTGCAAAAAAATATGAAGAATCGTAAAGTTTTTATAAGAATCAGTAAGATTCACAATATGACAGTACAAAGTAGCAAAAACATAGTTTAAACTTTTTTTGCTGCAAAATAAGCTTAGGGGTCAGCAATGATGTTTAGGATATAAGGTCTTGAACTATATGACACTAATGAGGCGAGGGGTTGAAATCTAAATGACATCATTTAAGAATGATCTTGAAATTCAAAAAAAGATTCCTTATTCTTCAAAAATAAATTCAGGAACAACTAGAAGTAATGCAGAGGTTTTCTAAGCACGAAAAAAAAATATTTTTTCTGTTTTCCTTTCTATCGCGTCATAACTTTATGGGAGTGCTTATGATTCTTATTTTATGGGACGTGATGCTTCTTCAGCAGAAATATTTCAAGTATTTGTAGGTAAAGCAATTGAAGTTGATATGGCATGATGGACATAAAATAGGTCATTAAGTATGACGACACAAGATAGATTTATGAAAAATTATTTTTATGACGTCATGAACGAGAATGAAAAATTCTTTAAATGAAGAAAAAAAAAACAGACACTGGAATTTACATTTTAATGCTGCTTTGAGCTACAATTTCACATTAATTTTCACTTTGTGATTATTTTAGAACATTTAACTTCAAACTGTGACATTTATTTATTATTTTTCATATCAGACAAAAGTAAATTTTTTCACTGATTAAATTTAGCAGCAGAAAATTTTCCACAAGCTTTCATTCGAACTACACTGCTTAAAACTTCAATCACAACTGACTAGCGAGAGAGATAATTTTTTTTTGTATGTGCAAAAAAGGTCTCTTGATTTGGCGAGCATGCGTACTTTTAAATGCCAAAGTTCAGGAAGGATCTTCAGATACTATAAGAGAAGAAAAGCACATTTTAGCAAGCATCATATTATGCGTTTACCGATACATCTCGCTATGCCGTAAAAGCTCCTCGAATCTGTTTATTATTCTTTTTCTTTCCATCACACTACACTCGATTTCATTTTGGTATTTTATGATAATAAGCATTAATGATGCTTTCTCCAACAATAGGAGAAATATTTTTTTGGTAACGATGGATGATAATGAATGCATAAAATATTATCTCGTTAAAAAATTGCAAACTACGTCTATGAACTTTAGCAATGATTTGTTATTTTAATTAAGTTGGAATTTTAAAGTCTAGCAAATAGTTTGAATACTCTATTTATCGAAGACGTTAGATTTAAAACCTACCGAATATTTCAAATTCAAAATTAATTTTGTTGATCGTAGTTTACATTGGAATAGTTTTACTCCCTTGCATTGTTTAAATTTTGAAAAAATCAGACTAATTTCATTCTTCTTAAAATGAAATATTTGAAGATATAACAGTGCTGTTCTTGCTAATTCAGGACTTTTTTATTAAATTAATCAATTGTTTTTAGGTTCTTCCAATAGAATAAACAGACAGGTAAGTAGAAACTTGTTTCATCAAAAAAATTGAATTTTTGAAAAGTCGAAATTTTTTGAATTTGTAAATTTTAAGCGTAATTGAAAGTTTCGATATTGAACATGAGGATCATGCTGATAATGATTAACCAAGTGAGAGTTTCTCAAAATGTCAAATTCAATTTATTCCAAAGAATAGAAGTTCAATATTACGAAACATGAACCTTTATATCGTAAAAATCTATTTGGAGAATATTTTATTACATCTATTGTGTTGCTAAAGAAGAAGCTAAGAAAGGATTTTTATAGCTCTACAAATAGAATCATCAAAATTGAAAAAAATTTAATTTCCTTCCTTATTCTTCAAACCGCTGTTGAATGAGCAAAAAAAAGTTCAGCATACATTGTTTGAAAAGTTGTGGCTTGTACAGGAACACCACACGTTCTATTTTAGAAACGATGGACGTTTGCCAACAATAATAATAATGCAAGCCCTAACAAAAAATGCTGGAATTTACAATGTCGTCATCAATTTTTTTCTTTTCACAGGAAAGGGAAAGTTTTTCTCGTCCTGTTCTCGTGAAAAAGTTAATTTCATTTGTAGTGCTTCAATGGTGCTGTCTTTTCTATAGAAAACCACTCGACCTTTTTTTCACTCTTCAATCATGAAAAAATATTTTTCCTTTATTCCGAAAGATAATGGAATATTTTCTACAATAGCAGAACCAAAAAAGATTCACAATTTATGACGTCACGATAAACTCAGTAAAGAACATTTCAAGTTCGACTGTTTTTGTGTACATATTATTTGCGTAGATTTGAAATACATTTCTCCTCAATGTGGTAGAATGGCACTTAAGATGTTGCTGTATTTTGTGTACCTTAGAAAATGCGTCATTCCTGAAAACGTTTTCGACAGACCAATTTTCCGAATATTTACATTGAACGTTTATCACTTTAAATGCTGTGACTGAATTATTTTCATGTTTCGCATTCTGCATCGTCATTTGGGACTTATTAACGTCAATTGACACTTCGTTCTTCTGATCTACATTCTATTTTGCATTTCTTATCACAAAGCGATAAAATAGAGACTGATTTGAATTTGTAATGATTTCATTCTTAAAAAAAAAATAGGAAGCGTATACCGTGGGACTATCCCAACATTTGTTTATAAAAATAATCTCAGAATGATGAACGAATTCTGTTTACTTTTTTCTTTGGCTTTATTTTTTTGAGTGTTGTGTTCAATGAAATTCGCAAGATTGTTCATTTCTATTTTCATTCATAAATGACATCAGTCAATTAACCTATCTTGTTGGCCTTTGATTGAAACATGAACTTCAAAATAATATTATGATGATGTTCAGATGGCAATGATTGTTCTGGTTAGATTAAAAATTGTCTAGAGTCTGTAAGCACGATTTTGTTAACAAATAAAAGATGCGAGCAATTGTAGTGTGAGTTTTCTCCCAACCTCAAACAACGAGGTTGTGGAATTGTCAATTTTCCATAATTTAATTATTACTGCGTAGGAACCAGACAGCAAATATAGTCTAAAGTGTGTAAGGAACAGATTAACAAAGGAGAAAACTCAAAAAAGTCGCGATTTAGTTAAATTTGGAGAAACTTTGGAATTGAACAAAAAAGGTGCAAATTTTTGCACATAACCAATACAAAATATAAAACGGAATTGATCATCATCGGAATACCAAAGAACATTTAATTACATTGACAAATCACGATCGGCGGCAGTTGTGAGGAGAATCAATTGTTTCACGTGGGTTTTTTTGTGTTTTACCAACAATCGTGGACAAGAAGGTTCTATCATAACCATAACCTAGACATTGAATATTATTGGAATACAACGGATTATCGTCAATTGTGAGGAGAATTTGTCTCGCGATGGGTTTTGTGTGTTTCCCCATATATCGCGGGCAAGTTCTATCAATCAATTGGTGCTGACTGGATTTCAACAAATCAACATTGACAAACAGGAATCGATCATCTCGGAATACAGCAGAACATATTAATTACATTGACAGATCACAATCGAGACATAACAAAAATTTGAATCTTTTTGGAATATCACAAGTTGAAATTAATAAGGACTGTCAAGCGATCTGGATCATCGACAACTGAAGATGGAATTTTTTGCCTAACGATGGATTTTTGTTGTTTTGACTTATCGGGGGAATGTTTTCCGTCAACCATTTGGAGTTGACTGGATTTTATTGATTGTTCTTTGTGTATATTTGTAAATTAAACTACCTGGAATTGTGAACGGTCTTTAAACAGCAATAAGCTGATGGACCATAATAAAGTTAATTAAGAAGAAAAAGAAGCAATTGTAGTGTTTTAAAATGACGCAAATAAGAACTTGAAGGGTTTTAAAAAGATGCAAAAATTACGATTGAAACTATTTGCGATGTTATTAAAATTACAAGTGATTTTAAAACTTAAATAATCAATAATTCAATAATTTTCCAACTCTGCTGTAATCAATCGCGTGTAATTGTTTTGAAAATTAGTTTTCAATAACTCCCAGATTGTAAAACATAGATTCATGTTCTCAGAAAGTATTTGATAAGGAAAGTATGAGTTTTATTATACAACTTACTTTTTTTTATATTTATACATAAAATTTAAGTACTGATAGTGTTACCAAAAATTAAGGCAACGAAAAAAATTGATGATAAATGAAAAGTCAAAGATAACATGCTTGGTTATACGTAAAAATTACAAGAACAAAAACTATCTTTCAAGACATTTGAAATCACTGATAACAAAACACACATATTTCTTGTTTTTGTTTATTACAAAAATTATATGTATTATGGGTCTTTATGAGTGTCTGTGCCACTTCAATACTTTTTCATGCATGACTCAATCAGTCGTTTAGTCGTCAATCATACATTGAAGAGTGCACATTACAGAGACATTGAGGGAGAGTGAATTAAATTAAATAGAATTAACATCAGAATGTATCCATCGCGTGAGGAATTTAGTGAACTTATTTACTATATCAGTGAACTAAAGCATCAATATACAAGCAAGATTGATGAGCAATCGACGAAAATCAATGAACAATCGATGATAATCGAGGAACTGTTATGGCAAATTCGTGAACTAAGTGATAAGATACGTCAAATTAATCAATGGAAAATTGAGGTGGACAAAGTGATCAGTGATAGTAAAGAAAAATTCAATGAAGTTACGAGATCGTGCATTTGCAGATATGAAAATCATATTCCGAAGAATCGCATTATAAATAGTAGACAACTTTTAATAGACAATAATCATCTAACAGGTAATAAATTTTCTCTTATCAATTCTTATCAAAAATTTATCACATTTTCCCAATTGTGCCAAATTTTTTTGTAGATAAAATGAAAGAATCAAATAATGCCAATAAGAATGATGATGATGTTTATGAGACAATTGACTTTAGTGATTCATCACATCACATTTATACAGAACCGTTTAAAACTGAATCGTATTACGGAGCATTAAGGAAAGTCACAGTCAAGACAAATAATTCAAAACAGACTACGCTAAGTACAAGTTATAATAAAAAGTCAGTTAATTCGGTATCATCGAAAAAGGGAATTAAGAAATCCACTCGAGTGAGGAATTTACAAAAATACCCGGCATTACAGGATGTATCAAAAGCTCCAAATTTCGAGGATGATTCTGAAAAAGATGAAGTCGATGGAACCAAAGTAGAACTTCGAGTGAAATCAACGTCGCCAAGTAATATGACATCTAATTCTAGGCAAATAGCTAGTAAGCAAATAAATGCACTAGTTTCAGTAGGTTTGATGAAGCTAATGAACCTTAACAGTAATTATAGTAATTTACAATTTAATTCCTTTGCATTTTAGGACATCGAAGTGGGATTTATTCGAGGCAACAGAGAAAGTTTGGCGAGTTTTATCCCACAACGAGATGCTTCAGGTATTTTAATCAATTTCGATTATTCAAAGTTAAAACAGCAAAACGAAAACCATGAAAGGGGGTCATTTTAATTTAATTAGCGACTAGAAAAATCTTTTTTATTTCATGTAATTTCCATTATTCAAAGTTGTTGAAGTTCCCAGAGGTTTACCTTTAATTCACAACAACTTTGAACACATTTTACAACTATTTAATCACTTATTCACAATTAGTGTATATAATAAATTTTAATTTTACACAACTTTAAACTTTAGAAATTATTTTTTGTTTTTTTTTTTTTACCTATAAGGGGGACAGAAATTGTTGATAAGAAGTTTTCCTACGCCTTCATATTTTTTGAGCAGATTTGTATAGCTTCATTTTGTATGAGTGTCTGACTTTTTCATCTTGAATAATTAATAAGCTTTTAAAAAGGGAATTTTAGAATTTTGATTAAAAATTGTAAAGCGCTCAAGTCAACTTGACTCAACCGAAATTGTTTAAACATTGAAATACCCTTTGCAGCCAACTTCACGATTTTTAAATCTTTATCACTGCAACTGAAAAAATCAATCAAGAAACGTGGATTAAAAGAACTTTTAAATTTAAATGATTTTTTTTTCTATTTACAATTTTTTTATTTGAATTAAATTCAGCAGTGAAGTTAATAATTAATTTATTAGAGTTAAATGAGGATTACAAAGTAATTTCAATTAATAAGTTTTTCCATCTTTTTTTTTCGGGTAACATCCTCAATTATCAACAATATTTGCTTTTTGCTAAATTTCTAGGACATAAACTTGCAATAATTTATAAGTTTCGCTAAATTTTATCAGCTCATGAAAAGGCACATTTATTCACATTTAATTGCTATATTTATTAATTAATCTAAATTAATGTTTAAGTTCAAGTCATCATCAGTGATTTTTAGTCAAGAAAATAAATTAAGAATATTATTAGATAGTGCTTTTGAAGTTCATCGAGAAAATGTCTTCAAAGTGTTGAGTGAAAATTTTTCACTCAACCAAAATTTCGTTTTACGATTTTTAGAATTAAAGTTCGTTTAAAAAATTTGTTATGAGACTAAGATACTTCTTTTGCACGTGACTAAGAATCAATGTCGATAAAAATTGGCAGTTTATGATTGATCTAAAGTGCACATTTATCATGCAAAAAAAATCCTAAATTCAACAAATTAGAGATTCATTTAAAATTAATCAATTGGACATTTCTTTCTTGTGCTACCCATTTTTTCTTTCTCTTATTCCTTAATTTTATTAAAATTAAATGTTCTTTTCGTGTTATCATTGTTTTGCAAAATAAAATGACTAGCAATGAATGAAAGAATTTCTTTTCTCAGATCATTGAAATAAGATGGCAAAAAGAATTTAATTAATTTAATGGGTGTATGCTGCTGCACATTTTTGTCACAGTTTAAAGTTTTTTTTTTCTTTTCATTATAAATAACACAACAATTTTTATTCTCCGGGATGACTTTACAAATGTTCGTCACCATGATAATTGCCATTTCTATTTAAAGGTTGTCTTTCGTGGGCAGCTCCTGTTGGTCGATTTCTCTTAAAGAATCCACACTAGAAAAAAAATAATCAGAATGTCAATAAAGCATTAACAACTCAAAATAGTCACAAAAATACCTTATACAACAAATAAATAAGAAGTAACAATATAAGTGCACCAGCACATGCTGCCAAGACAAAAATCCATAAAGGAATAACATCTGGTTTTGGTACTGGATCTGGTATTGCCGTCACAAATACTTCGTGTGTTTTTAGTGTCTCATTTGCTGGAGTTCCAACATACGGAAGCTTTGTAATCTTTCCTATTGCCATTGTTGAGAGTTTAATGTCCTGCTCACTTCCAAGCTGCAGAATTATTAAAAAATTTATTAGATTATCACATATAATATCAAGGAAACTTTAACTACTTACTTTATTAAGTGTATGGGCTACTAATCTCATTCTGAGTGCAATCTCAGCTCCTGTGTTCTTCTCAAGTGGACCAACGACACATCTTACATTGACACAGTGTGCAGATCCACAAAGACCATTGCTGTTATCATTCGAGATATCGCGAGTTCTTCGGTAATGCTTAAATTGTGGACTATTTGGATCGGATGTTTGGAAAGAGTATGATGATTTGGAATGTGTACTGTACGAGTTTCCTTGTGATCTGTCGTTATTATTATCATCTTCAATTTCTTCCTCGTCTTCGTACTCATCATCATCATCTGTATAAACTTGACTTGATTGACTGAAACCACTTGTTGATCCTGCTCTTGTTCCTGAAGAATATCGTGTGTTTGAACTTGATGAATGTTGCTGTCCACTTCCACTGCTTGCTATTATTCCACTTCCGCTGCTTGTTGTTTGACCACTTCTACTGCTTGCAGACTGCCCACTTCCACTGCTAGCAGAAAATCCACCTGATGAACCACTTTGCCTTCTCATTTCTTCATCAACATTATTTCTGCCTCCCAAAATACCTAAATCTACTCCAACAGTTTGAAGTCCATGACCACCTTGTGCTGCTTTCTCAAATGTTGTCACTCCATGTACTAAATCTGGTCTTGGTGGTTCACCATCTTGTTGACTCATCATTCTCCTTCGTCCTGAATGAGATCCACTTTGTGATAATGATTGAGTTTGAGTATTTTGTGCATGTGTTCTAGCTGCTAATGATGAAATATCTTGATGAACATTCTCATCGAAGTTTACGTCAATATTTCCAGTACCGAACGATGATGAGCCGCCTGACGATGAAGAGGATGTGTGTGACGAATGTGATGACTGGGATCTAAGATGAGTAAATGCACTTCCGATTAATAATTGAATCATTTTGATTGAATTTAAATAAATTACTCATTATTATTATTCTTAGTATTGTTATCCAATTTAGTTATTGTTGTGAACATTTTGTTACACGGTTTTGATTCATTTAAGTAAATACTTTTAAAGATAGTTTAATTGTTAGTATTAAGTTATTAAAATAGTCAATTTAAACTATTGACTTTACCTGTTTCCACCTCCTTGACGATTACCACTAGACCTAGTTTGACTTGCCTCATAAGAAGAACTAGTTTGAGTATTTGATTGAGATCGGAGTCTTTCTTCCTCAAGTCTACGTCTTTGCTCATCCACTCGACGTCTTTGTTCTTCCTCGTACTGACGTCTTTCTTCTTCATAACGTCTTTCATCATCTAAGCGACGTTTCTCATTAAGTTCTACTCTTTTCCTTTCGTCAGCGCGTCTTTGCTCATCAAGTCTTCTACGTTCTTCAAGTTGAAGACGTCTTTGCTCATCTTGAATCCTCTTTTGCTGTTCGAGATATTCTAAACGTTTTCTTTCATATTCTTGTTCCTCTTGTGTTTGTGATATTAAGTGACTAGATCCGAAACGATTGTCAACATGGGATGATCCTTGAATGTCAGTATGAGATGATCCACCAGATTGCCATGATGAATGTCCAATACCTCCAGTTATAACAGTCTCTGTACTTGTTTCTGATAAAACAACACGACCACCTTCACCTCTTACAAATGTTTGATTCTTTTTAGAGACATGAGTTATTTGTGGACCACCATCAACTGAGGTACTATTCCATTGTTCATGATATTCGTATTCACGAACATTACCTCCGGAGCCACCATGTACGTTAGATCCTGAAGTATGTGAATCGAAACTAGATCCTGAATTTCCACGTTTATCAACTGCTATTGATGAACCTCCTTGATTTCCAGCTGCAGATCCAGAACCACCGGAACTGTCAAAAGAAAATGATCCAGATCCTGAGCCCGATCCTGAACCTGCCTTATTACGACTTGAATAGGTTTTATTTTCAAAGTAGCTACTTTCATAACCACTTCCGCCACCAGAAACTGTTCTATCGGTATGTGCAGTATGACTTGTGATTCCTGTGCTAGAACCTTCACGATTTTTGTTTGATGTGCTACCTCCTGTCCAACTTCCTTGAGTTTGTTGCCATTTACCTTTATGTTTTTGACGTTTTTCATGTACTAAAGAAGCATCTCCAGCACTAACTTCTTGGCTATCAGATTTGTCAAGAATTTGTTTTTCCTCGTTAGTAGCTTGACCTTGAGTATTATATCTATTTTTATTTTGCCATGCACCTGATGAGAATCGTCCCTCACCGCTTCTTATTGGTGCTCGATTCTTGTCCAAGAAACTCTTTCTCTCAAGTGAAACATCAGTTTGAAGGTTTTCCTGATTCACAAACTGTGTTGGTTCACAATAAACATTTCCTGAAATTTCAGGTTGACTCAATAAATACATCAACGGTTCCTTATCTAAAGTCATTGCCGGCCAATTGATGAATAATTCAATTTCTTCTATTGTGGATGTTCCATTATTACGAATATCATAAATATGAACGAAATGTGGACCGATGTCAGCTTCATTTGATGAGTTTCCAAATTCTCTGTACTGAGAAACATTGTAATGAAGAACATCTGGTTGTGATCTTCCAGTAATTGATAAATCAGATTCAACAGAGATGGCGACTTGCTTTTTATATACATTATCAGAGTGACCTCCTTCAGCTTCCTCGTTTGTAGAGTTTGCTTCCATGTAGAATTCATAATATGGTGACAATCCAGCCTTTCTTGATGGCTCGAGAATAACTTTAAAGTTTACAGATTTCTTGGCTGGTAATGGATTTCCGATGTCACATCTAAGTGTATAGTTCGTCATTGCGCTTGGTGCTGTACAAATAAAGGATGTATCACGACTCTCGCCAAGTTTCTTTGTGCTCTTAAAATCTAATCCTTGTGGTACAGTCATGAAGAAAGTTGACTCAAATGCATCTTCTCCATGATTGCTTATTAAAATGTCGACAGTAAGAGATTCATTTCCACCAAGTATATACTTATCATTAGTCTTGACATCAAGTCTCAAATCAGGAATACAAATGTTATCCTTTCCACAATTCTTCATGATATTTATTGAATCCCGTTGAACAGTTCCACGATTTTCATCTAAAACGGTCTCTAATACAGCACGTGCACGTCTATTATGTTCAGAGGATGCATAAGATGTTGATGATGTTCTAATGTTGTACTTCATTTCAACTTCCAATGGTGTCAATTTGTCTCTAATGCCATCGGCAATATAAACATTATCCGAGCGACATTCAGACTTGCCACGATACAATCTCATTGTTGAATTACGAATATTTTTGGTCTCTTCATTGACGAAAAACATTCTTGGTGTTTTAGTCTTTTTAGAATCAAGAACCCATGAGATTTCAATATCGATAATTGCTGGTACATTCTTGCCATTAAATGACAAACATGATGTAATTGCTGTACAAGCTACCTGCCTCTTATCTCGTCCAGATAATGTACAGTTTTTGTTGTCCAAAGAGATGAGCTTATTCTCAGATTCAAAAATAGAGCTTGCTTCAACTACTGCAACTGTGCGGGATCTGGAGAAGAAATCAACAAATAAAAATGAAGTTAAAGAAGTGCCATGAAACTTACTTGAAGACAATTGCAGAGCTCGACTCATAAGCACCAACAACGAGGTCAGGATACTGATTTCCATCCAAATCAATTCCACCAGCAAGTGAAAAACCGAATGTAGTTAATGGTCGTGGAGTTCCAGCAACATCTTCAGATGAAATGACTTGAGATGGCTTCTTTAATGGACCATTGGCTGAACCATGATAAATATAGACTACACCGCGACCATTAGGACCATCATAAGGAGCACCGACTGCAAAATCTCCATAACCATCAAGATTAATATCGCCAAGGGATGCTAAAGCTAAACCAAATCGTCCTTTAGATGCTTTTCCTTCACGTGTTTCGAGATTTTTGAAGTTATCCTGAAGAATTTTTCGGAATTAATTCTAAGTTGTAGCTGGATTCTAAGTTGTAGCTGATATGAAGGACTTACCATTTTGCTCTGATAAACGATATAAACAATTCCAGTCTCATATTTATTATCTTTATTAGGTTCTGTATACATTGGAGCTCCAATAATCAAGTCTTGAAGACCATCACCATCAACATCAACAGTACACAATGAGTATCCAAAGTAAGCTCCAATTTGTTCTCCAGTAATATTGACTTGATTTGTGAGATTCCATGAGAAAACGAGAACTTTACCTAAAAGTCCAGCGCCACGTGGCATACCAACAGCAACACCTTGTAAACCTTCACCAATAAAATCACCAGTTGCTGATGAATATCCTAAATATGAATCATCTTCCTTTGATGAGCTTTCTTTCGTCGAATAAACTTTATCTTTGGGATTGTTCAGGCTATAGGAATACATTTGTCCTAAAATGTCAAAGAAAAGTGATATTGAAGAACAATTTCTTAGAATTTTTGTCATCAAATGATGAAATTATGCATTTTATCATCATGTAATGACAACTTTTGAGTTTTATAGCTTTTGTTATCATCCTGCACCGATATGCTTAACATATCAATAATATATTATAATTTTTACACCTTTAACCGTTCAAAAGCGAGCAAATTATCTTGAAACTAAATGTCTTATAAGAAGCATCAAGAGAATTTACAGCCTGTTATGCTTAACTAATGATAATCAGCTAAAGTAAAGCTGTTATGAAGTATATGATCTTCTAAACTATGAAATTTTGTTAATATTTGTTTCTAATATTTTTTTAAGCCAAATCATGTCAAATTGTTATTTATCAAATTTGTTCTATATTCTACTTTCAAGTAAATTTCAAATCTGTACATCCATCACCTGCAACACTGTAAAAATTCCGTCTCTTAAAGAAATAATTGAGTGAAAATTCTTGTAAAGCATTGTGAAAAATTTAAAGTTTGAATTTTACGGGTGAACATTTTTAAAAATTTGCTACAAATCAAAATCAAATTCAAATTGTAGAATTTTTGCAAAATTTTATATAAAAATTTGAAAAAGGCATAATTATTCATCCATAAACTATTTCAAAATTTCTTATTATTTCGGTTAATTTCTTATTAAAAACCAAAACCAAATTTTTCAAAAAATCCAAAAAAAATAATGAAAGCAATTAAAAATATTTCAAAAAATTAAGAATTTCACTCAATAATTTATTGAACCAAAGTCATAAAAAGTTGAAGATATTCTGTATACTAAACTGACTCTTTAACTGGAGGTTGCTTCTGGAATAATTTTACAGTGCCTTAAAGTTGTTCTGTGACTTCCACCATGATTTCAATTAACTATACTACGCTTAGTAAATATTCTACGACTATAAAATATTCAATAATCAAAAATTCAAGGAAAAATAAAACTGCACAAAAAAATATACAAAAGAGTTTGATGATGAAGAAAAAGAAAAGATATAAATAGCACAAAATATAGCAATGATATCATGAGATTGCCTTGCTTTAAAGCATTTTTGTTGATATTTAAAAGTAATTAATATAAAAAAATATTTCAATTGTTTGCGGATTCAAGTGGATTGAATTGGGAAAAAGTTGGATTTGAGTGGACTGGGGTTATATGCTTTGCTGAGCAGATCATCAGCTCAAGAGTCTAAAGAGATTTAAGTTTTCCCAAGCTTCACATCGTTGTAAATTGGTCCAATTCACGACGATGATATAATCTGGTTTGAGATTTGAGCATCAAAGCATAAAACTCAGTCCAAAACATATTTATTGCTGGAAATTGGCTATTTCAGGAATTAAATTTTTATTTGCTGCAGATAAATTACTTTAGGATTTAGCATAAGGTTTGATAAAGACGTTGGGTTTTAAGTTTATGAACAGCATATTTCAACTCTGATAGCTAAGATTGATTCTAGTCCTCAAACTTCAGTAAAGAAAAATTACCAAAGCTAGTCTCTAGTTCCAATCTATACTATTCATAAAACCTTAAACCCTACAGTCAAGTCCTATAAAGGAACGGAATGCAGAACTTAAATATTCCCCAAGCTTTAATTGAAATTAACTTTTTAATCAATGGATTGTTTTTGATGAGAAAGGAAGAGTCTAAATAGTTATGATTTTAAGCAACACCGGTAAAATGCTGGCGGTTTATGAATTTCTAACTAAGAGGATTTTATTAATGATGTGAAAATGAATTTTTGGTTGGTTTTTTGGCTAAATGACACTAGTAAATCTAATACGATAGGTTGGTTAAAACAATTCTTATTGCATTAAGATGTTATGAGCGGGAATTAAGAGATGATTGACAGAAATTTGAGTTTAGAATCTCAATAATGGAAAAGATTGCTACATTTGGCCACTAGCTACAGCAGGCATTCGTTAGTTGTAACAATCATTTGATTATTAAGACAGAATCTCAAAATTTCTATAAATCATCAACAATTCCCCAATTTAAGGAAGTTTTTAATCTAAAAAATTAGCATTATTTGAATGAGTATAATTGATCTGTGTCACATGTATGAAGGATTTATTTGAATGTATAATGAAGTATATGATTAATCATGTAAAAATGTTGAAAGTTGAGTTTGATGTTGTTTTTGGTTTCTGATTTTTGGAAAACAAGTATGAAAAAGTTAGAAGCATTGTTACTTTTTCAATTAATCAAAAAAGTTAAAAAAAAAATAATGGTTTTTGTTTTTTCAACATAGGAAATACCTCCATCGCCAAATTGCCCATATCGAGGGGGCTTAAAAGGATACTCAGCATCGGTATTAATTGAATATACTTGTCCTGCGTGGATTTATGTGGAATATAAATAGAGCACAGCCGCCACAAAAAATATAAGTATTTAATTATTAATAAATTCAGGATCACTATAAAAAAATTAATATTTAAGTTGTTCAAAAAAAATAAGTAGGAATGTGTTTTGGGTTTTGCTAGAATAGATTCGATGTTTAATAAAGGAATTTTTTAAATGGGAACTGCAATATGATTTGTGTAATTGTGTAATTATGGGTTTTGGGGGGATTCTAGTATATTTACAGTGATGTTCATTTCTTTTCATTAAATTTGTTATAAAAAACTCTTAAATGTAGATGGTAGATTTATTTGCAGGAAAAGGATTGAGTTTAAAACAGCACAAATTTTTTTTTTTGAGGACGTTAAAAAATTATGAGAGGTTTGGATGGATTTCAAAAAATTTTGAAAACATTGTGCTGGAAAATTTAAGGCACACACTTGACATTTTGGATTTGATCTTAAATTCCATCAAGAATTTGGCGCCAAAAAATCTTCCAGCACAAAAATTTTGTAACTCGCACAAAAAAAAATCAACAAAAATGTAGTTTAATTAATTTTGTTTACTACGCAAAAACCTCAATCTACAGTCATCATTTTATTTTCATTAATTTCGCTTGCCTAACTTGCTTTTTTCATCACAAAAAGAAAATTTTGAATTTATTTTGTTTTTAATTTGTTGTTTAATCTCAAAAATAAAACGCCAAACGATTAATTTGATGTGGTATACTTACAACTTTTGGAAATATTGAAATGTGACTTTACATTAAAAGATATCATTTTGTGATTATGGATTGAATTAATACCAAAAAAAAATGTAAACATGTTGAGAAGTTAGGCAAATTAAGGTTTAAAAAAATCCAAGAAATTCGTGAGATAAAAAAAACTAAATTTGATTAGAAGTTTATAAGGTGAAGAAAAAAGGTTCTATTCTAAATAAGTTGCGCGATCTAAAACTCTTTTTTTTTTAACAATACATAATTTTGTTTCTATTTTAATTGTTTGTAATACTCGCTTTAAAGACTATAAAAGACAATTAAACCCTGATGGATTTTGTATATATACTTGTAAATATAATTCTATGACGCTATATGTAAATAAAAATAAGAAAAAAACTTTAATCTGAATTAAATTGATCATACCTTGCCAATACCAGCTTCCTGGTGCACCAACAAAAAGACGCTCTCCATCCTATGGGAATAAATAAGAAGGAAAAGAGAAAAAAACATGAATAATCGACGATAAAGTTTGAAATTTCTGAGATTTTGAAGACGCAAATCTGAGATTTAACCTATTCAGATTAATTCAGCTCAGTTCTACCCTTTTTTAGCTGAATTCAGTACAACAGCGCTCAATTCAGCACCTTTAAGTAGAGTTCAACTCAATTTTCTAATGTCAAGTAAATTCAGTACAAAAATTAACAAATATATTTTCTGAATGTTGTTTAGTGCTTTAAAATATAATTTGTAAAGTTACAGCTGCATCAATCTATTCCAAAGCCCAAAAAGACAGATTCTCTTCCTCAAAAAGATGCAAAAAGCCAAATGAGAAATTTAAATTTTCATTTTGCATGCAAACAATGTGAAATTTATGGAGTTTTACAATCTCATTGCTTATTGCTCATTTTGATCGACACATGAATATCGAATTGAAATCGATTTTTAAAAAACAAATTTCTTCATGTTCATTTCATGGAGTTTTTCAAAAAAGAAGTAAAGAAGTTTAAGGAATGAATTTTAAAAGTCCATTTAAATGTTCAATTGTCAAATAAATTTCGACGAGAAATGATTCTGTGCAATAAATTCATCATTTATGAAGACAGTTTGTTTTGATTTTTACGAGACATTTTCTCTTATAAATAAAGCAAACTTTTCTCAACTTTTTGTGCTCTTCATTGAATTGCAAGTGCCTTTATACAATTGATACATAAAAGATTATCGTAATGGAAATCATGTTTTGATTGAGGTGATCTTTAATTCATGCCAGGCATGATTGTGGTATGGGAATGAGAAAACAATGGGATTGAACTAGATTACTGATTCAAGGGAAGGGGATTTTGGGATATGACCTCATTTTTGGTGACTGGATCAATGTCTTTTGTATGAAATAGTTAACATTTGGGAGGTCTGTGTAAGAATTTGTCAATAATTGGAGAAATTCATTCAAAATAACCTTAAAAATAGTATCTAACAGAACAATTGAGCAATGTTTGATGAACTACAAAGCTACATACTCAAAACATGTTTTACAATCCAAAAACATGACACCTCTTAATTAAGATATGATGATAAGCAAGAATCGTTTCATGTAGACATTAAACTGTGAAACTAATAATTTTAAACCTAATAATAGGAGCTGAATTTAACTATTTTAATGTCACACATGATCTGGGTTCTCAATTTATTAGAGTAGCCTGATAAGGAACTGAATCATATAAAAGGTATCAGTGGGGTGTCATTAAAGTAAACAACTATTGATGAGTCATCAAAAAAATTGTTCTTCATTTCCTGATCTATAAACGTTATTTCAAAAGAAAGCAGCAATAGTTCTGTTAATAATTTGGGAGTCGATAGTGGGATATATCATAAATGATGTACAAGAAGGCAAAGGAAGAAGTTTACAATACAAAAAATCAATAATCACTGACAAAAGGTTGTGGAGTATAAAAAGTTCTATTGAATGTCACGATTTACATCATTGATGTACAAATCCCGTGGAATGAAAAATTATAGAAAAATATTTTAATAAAATTCTACGAGTCATGCGGTTTTCAACAAATAAATATTTTGATCGATTTTACTTCTTCTTCTTCCTTTTTCATGTAATTGAGTGTCTGCAGAGTTGATCGAACTGATAAAGAATTTTTACACATCTCGTGAGTGACTTTGTATGTAAAGCTTATTGGTACATTCATTATAATTATTAACACGCTGATTTTTTGTACGTGTGAGGTATTGCAAGTCTTTTGGTCTGCTGTTTTGAGATTTTCATGTAATTAATGGTTTATAGCAGTGAATATTTCGATTATTGTAAATCCATAATTATAAATTTTTGATTAAAATTTAATTCCTCATGTTCCGACATGAAACTATTATAAAAATGCGCTTGAAAGCTTCCTTGCATGTCCAATAAAGTTATTTTAAACGATTCAACATTTTACTCTTACAAGAAGTGGAAAGAGAAAGAGATATTGGATGCATTGCATGTTCCGGTGATTGATTTATGGTTTCAGTAATAAATATTGAAGATTATAACTCACCAGACTGCAAGCTGCACCCATGATATCTTCATTATTATTTTTTGGTAATCAAAATTTATTTTTTTTTTATATTAAACAAATATTTGATCTTGTTCCTTCGTACTTTATTTATTTTTTTTAAAATCACCATAAAATAAGACAAAGAGGAACAAAATTGAATTTCTTGCTGAGAAAAGTGAACAAAACATGAGAAAAATTTGCTATAGAAATTCCATCACAGTTGTTATTTCATGTACATTTGCATTTCGATATTCTATAATCCACTGCAATCACGAGAGTTGGCAAATGTAAATTTCTTTCTATATGCTGATTCCATTATTATGTTAATTTACTTATGTATCTCTATCCACCGCTGGATATGCATATGAAAATGGTTTAAAAGGAGCATCCATGTGGGGCAGACTATGTCGACTTCTAAATGCAATTGTTCATTCATAAATAAAGATGAATACTTTTTATTTTGTTTCCCAAAGACAGCGAATTTATTTTAATAGAGTCACAAAAGAATCATCTCAGTTGTTGTTTCACGACAGAAGGTACAAAAAGGGAGGACTCATAAGAATGCTTCTTTAACGGAACAAATTCTGAGAAATTGTTCCTTTTAGCATAACAAAAAAGGCTCTTAAGGTGCATAATATTGAACTCGCGAGCCAAAATGCTCAAATATTCACATGTTCTTGCCTCGACAAATGTAAATTTCTACTCGCTTTTTTTTGTTGACAAAACAATAAAAGGAAATGAAGAATAGAAAACAGAACGTAATATTAATATAAAGAGATATTGCCGTTTGCAGGGAGTAAGAATCGATTGCAATTTTGTAGTTTTTGATAGATCACTGTTGTTTATGATTATTTACAGGTTATGTTTAGATTATTGAATGATACTAAGAACATTTCTGCATTATTAAGGGATCAATTCAGCACTTCTCAACTCAATTCAGTCCTTTTTAGCTGAAATCAGCTTTTTTCAGTTCATTTTTATTTCAATATTGACCAACTTAGCTGAATTCAGCACAATTCAGCTAAAATTGACTTAATGATTCTGAATTCAGCACTTTCAATGACCATCACAATGCAAAATATTGTCAAATCATACCTCAACCCTGCCAATAACAACATTTTTTGATATCGTTTAACTTCTTCTTGTTCTTTCAATATTCAAGAATAAAAATCGCCAATCGAATTTTGATTGTCTTTTAATTCTTAATATTATTGAATCGAAAAGATATATTCACAACAATACAATGCCTTATTTTGAGTAATTTAATTTTATTGCATTTTGGTTTATTGAAAATTTATGTTTTTATTGTTGCTGCTCGATCATCTCAATCGGAGGAAGAGAAAAAAAGCCACAATATATTATAAATTTTTTACATCTCGTGATTGCATTTATTACCGGGACCCGAGAGAAATGTATGTGATCGTCGTTGGAAAAGTGGAGGGAGACGATATTTAAATAAAATTCATGTTTTGAGACATGTAGAACATAATTTCAGTAGCGATATTTCTCATGTTTCTCAATGTGACTTGATATGTGAGCGAAAAAGTTCTATTGTTTCTTGGGTATGATTATGATGACATTGAAAATGATAAATTTGTGTCGTAAAATTGGGAATATTTGATGGAGATTTTTCAGGGCTTTTATGCTTGAAATGTATAAAATTCTAATTTGTTTTTTTGTTGCTGTTATTATTATTATTGGTTTTGGAACCTTCGAATATAGAAATAAGTGGTTGAGCTGTTGATACTGCAATTTCAATGAAAACAGCTAAATACTAGGTTCAAATCCTATTCGGCAAATTTCACTAAAGTGGATTTTCCTCGATTTTGGATTATCCACTTCAGTTTTTTGCAAATATCTTAAACTTTATGAGAGGTATGGTACTTCTAATTTTGGATTTTAATAGAGTGAACTATGCCAGAAATTGCTGTATACTTCAAACTTTTGCTTTTCTCTTAGAATTATTAATTTTTCAATTTTCTTGCCAAATCTAGTAGATTAACTTCAATTTTTGCTACAATTCTTAAACTAGTAGAGACAAAAAATTTCTAAGTATATCTAAATTTAAGTAGCAAAGTACTCTACACAGAAAATATGTTAGATCTCTTAATAACCTTAAGCGCCTGGAGATATTTCCAAAAAACTGAAGTGGATAATCCAAAATCGAGGAAAATCAGTAATTTTGTAACATTAAATTGTCGTTTCTTTTTAGATTGCTTAACATTTTAAGACTAAACATTTGGCCATAGTCATCGACATAAAAATTCATCATCAGACTGAATTCACAACAAATTTTAATAAAAGTTCAATTACCTTGCTAATAGCAGCACTCAAACCAGCTTGACATGAGCCCTGTCGATGATATCCCCAGTACACTAAAAAAGGAAGAAAATCCATTAATTTTTTTTTTCATACTTCCATTCAATCGTGAACAAACTTAGAACTATTTCCTGTGAATCATCAAAGAAACTAGTTGACAAATGTGCAAAATATATATTAGTTAAAAGGAAATCTCAAAGAAACTTAATCGTTAAAAAATATTTACAGCACTTACGTTTTCATTTGATCATAAATTAAAATATATAAAGTAAAAATAGTATGGGAGAGACTCATAAAAATGGATTTACATACTAACCAGAATAAGAATGTGCCACAATGTTGGCGCACATTTGTAAGCAATAAAAAAATTTGCCGACAATTTGTCATAAATGAATACAACTTCTGCTTTTGAATGGCATGTAATTTATGTAAATTTTTAAAATAACTTTTTAATGCAAATGAGCATCATAAGAATGTAAAAAGAGTAGAAGAGGAATGCATTTACCCGGGCATTGACAAAAAAGGAAACAAATTATTTTAAAAAAATATAAAATATAAGTGAAATATAGACAAAGAAGATGAGCAATTGAATAGTTAAAAAAGAATACATAAAAATGTGTTGCACATATGTTCAAAAAGTATCATCAGATGCCGCGCACACGGGTTTAACAAAATAACAACCGTAAAAGTAGAAAGAGATACAATGAAAGAACTTTTTATGTTTCTACAAAAAAATAGTCTTACTGTAGATACTGTGCATGCAACTATGAAGTTCATTCGGCGATCTGGTTTGAGTATGGTCACTAAGAACTGAACATAGAGCGCCTATTTGAATTATTTTTGTTCGTGATTATCTGAAATTGTCTATACTGCTTTTTTTGTATTGCTGTGCTCTGCTGCATCCTGAGACGGGACAAACTGAGATTTATAGGGTGACTCTGAAAGATCCTAAAACCTCTGAAACTTGATCTATTTGGTGTCTCCCATCAACACTTTGATGATCAGAACCTATTGTTCCAATTTTCAGATCTACATGTAACATTTCCTTCAAAACCTACATGCATTAAATCCTCAATCTTGCTCAAATGAAAACCTAACCTCACTTTTTTCCAAAGTTACTTTACAAGTAAGTAAATGAGATGAATTTTAAAATTTTCAGCTATTTTTAGACTGACTCAAGACTGGGCATGACGAATAAAAGATATTTTAAACATTTCCATCACGTATTTGTTTACGGCATCAAGAGAGATATTAAATGCCTTTTATGTCTTTTCTATATTGATTGTCTATTTGAGATTATTGTTATATGAAATGAGATTATTTTACAATACTTCTTATGTTCTTTACATCTTATTGAGAGAAAATTTAATTTCTTGTTTTAAGATATGCTGGATGTTTGTCATAAATATTGTGGATCATTTAATAAAGAAATAAATCATGACAGAGAAATTACTTTTGAGTCAAAAATGTTGTTACACTTGAAATATATTCAACTTCTTTTTTCTCAAGAATTTGAAGGTATGACAGCATCTGATAGTATATACTAGTGTGGGAGCCACCACATCTGGATGCTATGGCTCTAATCTCAATTTTTGATAAGTAAATCTGCGATAAATGAGCAATAACATAAGATTTCTAGACTAAACTTCAAAATCTCCATATCCCAGCTGTTTGTAATTAAAAACTAATCCAAAAGCAATCCTTCTGTAGATTAATCTACAACATTAATCTGCTGGCTATTATGACATCCATAAAAATGGCAAGCAATTCACTCTTGTGACAAAAATGTCATGTAAATTTTCTTAATTAATTATGACCAGCAACTCAGCTACTTTTTCAATGTTAAGTTCATGTTAAATCATCGAAACTAAGGGATAGAGACATGTGCATGTGTGTGTCCATATTAAAGCATATCGTGCATCTGTACAATAAAGAGGATGTTCACAATCGATTTTTTTCACGCTCCACTTCCGTTAATTTTTTAAATGTCAGTTTTGTTTTCACATTTTCAAGGGTTTATCGCTGTTGACTATTGCAATGTAAAGTGGTTGAGTAGGACATGTCATTATCCCTTGAGCATATACACTCGATGAAATTTGATAGTTTTTAATATAATTCAGGGGAATTTCGCTCTTATGAACATGAAAACTTTGATGTGATTAAACAATTGTTTCACTTTAATGAGTTTATGACCGAGGGTGTCATGTAGGTAAATAAAAATTAAAAATGCACAACAAAAGACAATAAATTATGAAGAAAACAAATTTGAAACGTGACTGAATGAAGTTAATAAACAAACAAATTTTGATTTATATGATAATATTAAAGATAATTAAGTGCATTAACCTATAAATGACGCTATTAGGAGTTGCTGTTACGGTATTTGTTGCTTTAAGGTAGAGCACGTTCACTAGGTGTGATTATATTTTTGTTGAATTATTAATTTGGAAGTTTAATTCATTTTACTTTTATGAATTTGGAGAAAAAAATAAAAAATTTTAACGTATACTTGAATTTTAAATTTCTAAGGGTAAATCCTATGCCAATCAGAACTCTTCCTGTGCTTATTTCAATTTAATTCTTTAAAATCTTCAAAATGAGAACCTTAAAACTTTAAAAAAATCAATATTCTAGTAATGTAAAAGATAATTACATCCAAATATCTCTAAATCTACAAATTCTCACTTCATCCAATCTCCTTTGATGCATCAACTGATCTGAAAGATCAAACAATTTTTTGAAGTTTCGTAAATTACTTCAACTTGTCACATACCATTGTGATGAAAACACTTGAGAGCTATAATAATTTTTTAATTAACTTAAAAATCGACATCAGAGGTAACATAAAAATCGTTTCCATAATTTTTCTCAAACATCTGAAGTCGAACATTTTATGGGAATTTTTCTAATTTCTAATTTTCATTTCCCCTAATGGAAACGATCGTTGTTTCCTTTTATTCTTTGTAGCTTTGAAAGAAATCATGTCAATTAATCTATTTTTAAAATTGAGCATCATTATTTAAGTGTCTAAGTCAATGCATTAGGTATATTATTTCATGTATCATGTATGTACATCTTTTTCTGAGTAGAAGATGTTTTCGTCACTAATTGAAGCATATTAATTTTAAAGTAACTGAGATTTCCTTCCAACTATCATCGTGTATTTGTCTCATACTCACTTGTTCGACATGGCGAAAATTCTTTAAATTCTCGAAAGTTATCTTTGGCAATGAAGCATGTACCAACAGGTTCGTTACGTTCAACCTTTTTCGGCTGATGTTGATGGTAGACGTATCGTGGTGCACAAGCCTATAGAGAAAAAAAAGAGAGAAATTTAATAGACAGTTTAATGGTGTGAGGTTTATGTAGACTATTGGCATCAATTTTTTTATGGATTCAGAATAATCAGATGAATTTACAAGTTTCAGAACAGTGTCTGAGATGAATTCAGCAGCAAGATCAGTTTTTAAAATTGACTGTAACAGTAAAGCTAAATTCAGCTAGTAGAGCTGAATTCAGATAATTCAGCAAGTAGAACTGAATTCAGCTAATCAGCCAAATCAGTACTTTGAGCAGAATTTAGCAACTAAAGCTGAATTCATCAAGAACAACTAAAAAGTTCATTTCCCGAAAAAAGTTACAAATCTTCAACAATTCATCCAGCAACATTATCTCTCGTCTCAATTCTTTTCCTCGTCCAATAAAACTCTCATTTCTTGTCAGTCTTGTAAGTATTACAGTAAAAGAATGTTGTTTCTTGTCCTTTCCAAAAATAGATTTACGCCACAACCTTGAGTCGCAAATCAATCATCGATAAAAGGAAACGACAACAATTCGATTTTGTGATAACAGCAAACAAATAAGAACGAAACGGCACAAAAAGCTTCAGTGGACTGTGGAGAGAAAGAGTGCAGTAACATTTTTCAAATTAAAGACACATAGACTCTGCATATAGCATCTCATAAAACACGAATGATACTGAAAAAGGCTAAACAATGTGGATTTTGAGGTGAGTTGTAGTTTTTATGAGATGCTCTGCAAAAACGAATTGATGACGATGAAGAAGTTTTGTGTGTGATCATCATAAGGAAAGAAACATGACGATGAACATAAAATGATAAAAAAAAAAACAGTAATAAAAATTAAATTCATCCATGTCCAGTTATTCGTGCTTGGACAAAGGAAAACTTTTTATGCAGACAGAGTTTTCAATGTGAAGGCCACCGTCCGTGCAGCACCGAATCATCAAACATTTTTTCGTCAATTTTATGAAAGCGATAAATTTCCAACAACAAATAAAGAGGAAATGAGATGTCGGGCACGTGAATTTATGTATGTTGAGGATGCTAAAATGTACAATAGTCTTCACCCCACGAAATCAGAGTTCCTTTGCATTTTTTAAGTTAATTTTACAAAATTTTTCGAACTCCAATGTGAAATTGCCAGCAGAAGCTTTAAAAGTACAAAAATTACGCATTCAGGTGTCTGATTTCGAATGGACAGAAGTAAAAACAAGAACATCGGCAAATGTTGAAAAATATTTTCAAACATCCATAAATGGTAGCAGCATCTTCACCGATTGTAATGTATCGAATTTATACAATAACATAAGAATTGTTTATAAAAATGAACAATCAGGAATCGATAAATGTTGGAACCAGAGTTGCGATCTGTCACAGGTCAACAAAAACAGCCCACCTGTCACAGGCCGTTACCTGTTCACAGGTCAAAATTTTTCGCCTATCACAGGTCTGACCTGTCAAAGGTTCTACCTGTCACAGGCCGTTATCTGTTCACAGGTCAAATTTTTTCGCCTGTCACAGGTCAGACCTGTCAAAGGTTCTGCCTGTAACAGGTCGTTACCTGTTCACAGGTCAATTTTTTTCGCCTGTCACAGGTCTGACCTGTCAAAGGTTCTGCCTGTAACAGGTCGTTACCTGTTCACAGGTCAATTTTTTTCGCCTGTCACAGGTCTGACCTGTCAAAGGTTCTGCCTGTAACAGGTCGTTACCTGTTCACAGGTCAATTTTTTCCACCTGTCACAGCTCTGACCTGTCGCAGGCCTCACCTGTGACAGGTCGTCACCTGTTGACAGGTAGAAAAAATCTACCTGTTGACAGGTAGACCTGTCACCTGTCACCTGTCACCTTTGACTATCGAAATTTTTTTCTTCTAGTGAAGTATAAAGATTTCATACAAAATTCATCAATTTTTTTGCTTCCTCAAGTCACGAGTTCAAATCTCTTCGCAAGCAACTTTCTTTTTTTGCATTTTTATGATTTGTTTTTAAACTTTTTTGATAAAATATTAAGTTTTATGACAAAGTTTTCCATTTTCATATTTTATTTCTTCACTTTCTATATTTTAACATGTATTTTAAATTTTTTCCATATATTTTCATACAAATTTAAATTTTTTTGTCATATTTTATCAATATTTTATACATATTTTATTTTAACAAGCTGAAATCTGACACAAAGGCACTTTTCCTAGATCTGGATGTTCTTAAATCGTAATCTTGGATTATAAATTATTATATATTTCGACTTTTTGCGGTCTCGAATGACAAAGTCTATACTAGTTTTAATATTTTATGCCATTTTATGATCCAAGATTACGATTTTAGAACATCCAGATCTAGGAAAAGAGCCTTTGTATCAGATTTCAGCTTGTTAAAATAAAATATGTATAAAATATTGATAAAATATGACAAAAAAAGTTGAATTTGTATGAAAATATATGGAAAAAATTTAAAATACATGTTAAAATATAGAAAGTGAAGAAATAAAATATGAAAATGGAAAACTTTGTCATAAAACTTAATATTTTATCAAAAAAGTTTAAAAACAAATCATAAAAATGCAAAAAAAGAAAGTTGCTTGCGAAGAGATTTGAACTCGTGACTTGAGGAAGCAAAAAAATTGATGAATTTTGTATGAAATCTTTATACTTCACTAGAAGAAAAAAATTTCGATAGTCAAAGGTGACAGGTGACAGGTGACAGGTCAACCTGTGACAGGTAGATTTTTTCTACCTGTCAACAGGTGACGACCTGTCACAGGTGAGGCCTGCGACAGGTCAGAGCTGTGACAGGTGGAAAAAATTGACCTGTGAACAGGTAACGTCCTGTGACAGGCAGAACCTTTGACAGGTCAGACCTGTGACAGGCGAAAAAAAATGACCTGTGAACAGGTAACGACCTGTGACAGGCAGAACCTTTGACAGGTCAGACCTGTGACAGGCGAAAAAAATTGACCTGTGAACAGGTAACGACCTGTTACAGGCAGAACCTTTGACAGGTCTGACCTGTGACAGGCGAAAAAATTTGACCTGTGAACAGGTAACGGCCTGTGACAGGTAGAACCTTTGACAGGTCAGACCTGTGATAGGCGAAAAAAAATGACCTGTGAACAGGTAACGACCTGTGACAGGCAGAACCTTTGACAGGTCAGACCTGTGACAGGCGAAAAAAATTGACCTGTGAACAGGTAACGACCTGTTACAGGCAGAACCTTTGACAGGTCTGACCTGTGACAGGCGAAAAAATTTGACCTGTGAACAGGTAACGGCCTGTGACAGGTAGAACCTTTGACAGGTCAGACCTGTGATAGGCGAAAAATTTTGACCTGTGAACAGGTAACGGCCTGTGACAGGTGATCTTTTGACAGAAACTGTCACCTTTACCTGTGACAGGTACCTGTCGTCGCAACTCTGGTTGGAACGACATTATTGATGACCTCTGACCACAAAATCTCTTTCTTTTCTTTCCATTCATAAAAAAGATATTTTACATAAAACAATTACAATTTGCCAATGATACTCGCTCGTACAAATAGAGCGTAAATGCGTATGCACAGACTGTTTTTATTGTTTTCTGACTTTTTTTTCCTTCCCATTTGGAATCAAATAGTCGAGAAATGTACTTTGGCAAACTGTTTTATGGAATGCAACAATGGGAAGATGTGTGTAATGTGAGAGAGAGTGATTGTATCTCCCTTTTTCTTCTTCTTATGCTTTATACACTTTATATAAAGTGCAATCGATACGGAAAATTTATTTAAATTGTTCTTTGAAGAGCTACATAGACACACCATACTTGGCAAGGTGAAAATATTATTTTATTGGAAATAGATACGATGACTTATTGTTTTAAAGTGTGCCTTTTGTACGTGGACTTTTGTTTTGTTGAGTTTTTGATGGTTTTAATGTCATTGAAATAAGATTGTGATTGTTATGGACTTAACAGTTATTCAAAATTTGAAAATTCAACGACTTTCTTAAATTTGAAAAACTTAAAAAATTTCAAATTTCAAAAAACAGTTATCCAAAATTTCTACCACGATTATCAGACCTCAAAGAAACAAACAAAAATCCATTTACATTCACACTATAATTATTCATAGTTGAATTCATTGAAGCTCTTAAAAAGCAGTTCAAATAATCTTTAAACATATCTCACGACTTAACGAGATTAATCCATTTACAATGTTCGATTTATATTGCTCCATTTATGGTCATTAGGAATTCAAAGTTTATCAATTTGCATACAAATAGTAATTCATGTTTTCCTGCCTTCATTCTTGTTCTTTCTTTCTTTACAAAAAAAAAGAAGATCTTTAACAAAATGATTCAATTGAATGGTATAAATACATGCTAAATAGTAATTTAACCTTTCGACCAAAAGATATTATTTACTTTTCTAACTCATTCTGATTCCATTCTCATCATCTGAATGCTTCTGTACTATTTTCTTCATGTTTCTAAGTTACACAAAAAAATTAACGATTAGCTAAAAGGAAAGCCAAGTAAATTTCATGTTTACGGACCCGACGATAAGTCAAAGCGCAGCACAAGATGAAAATATAATGTTTGTACATATAGGAACGGAAAAGCTTCAATCTTAGCAATATAACACGCTTGTAGATAATAAAATGAACAAAGAAATGCTCTTTGTAGGTTGTCGTGTCAAGAAGTCAAAGCGATTAAATTTAAATTACGTGAAAATTGCTGTAATCTCTGCTTTTTATAGTGCTTTAATAGGATTAAATAGGATATGCGGCAAAAGCAATAAATGTCTGGTTTATTGTGCAATACTGCTTGGTTTAAGCCACGTGTGGAGCACCGGAATTAAAATTGAGAAAATTTCGACTAGTAAACATTTTGGACTTTCAGGATCAATTAATGATCCTCACTTGAGATATCCTGAGTGAATTTAGCAGGCAAATATAGACATGAACAAAGTCACCTATCTAGGTGTGGCCTAAAACTTTTAAAATCACAATCTTATCAAAACATAACCTTGCGACTTCCTCAAATCCCATTACATGTCACTCACCCCTTCCTTCTCAATCTTTTTTATTATTTGCTAATCATTTTCATATTTTTTGCTATGCAAACAAGCCATAAATCCACAACTAATGTGAGACACTATGAAACCATTGTTGTGATAGCTTCATAATATGTCCATCAAGTTGTTAAGCAAATGACATTTATCTTTCTTCACTGTAAGGTAGATAGATAGTCATAGTGCAAGTCAAATGATATAAATAGAATTGACATGAAGGTAGGTTTTGCTCATTAATTTCTATGTATATCACATGATGGAGGCCTCCCTTTTTTTCTCCGTCTTATTTTATGTGACTAGATTATTGCGATGAGTAAGAAAGTTACGATTATTGGAAGAATTTTATGTGCTATGTGGGATTCCATCAACACGTAGCATGCATATTAGTCGACACGTTAGATATTTGTATTGTTGATGCAATGAATGGAAAGAAAAACAGGAAGATGAGCACACGCCTTAAGAAATAAAGTGCAAAATACGAAGTAAAAATCAATCGAAAGTCATTAAAATATTTTCCTATCCCTTCAATCTACCGACAATGACTGCACAAACGTCTACACAATAACCTTTCCTAAAAGCACAATTTCCTTCGTTCATTCATCAAATGCGATAAAAAGGCGACCAACAATTTCGGTGGCTTTTAACTTGATTTGGTATTTTTTATGTGAAAATTTATTTCCTTCATTCTTCTTCTTTTCTTTTACTAATTCAGCAATCAAAATTTATTTTTGTGAATAAAAAAAAAATGGAATGAGAGATAATTTATTGACACGTGTAGGTGGCGAGAAATGATTGTGGTGAAGAAATTGACATTGAAAATTAGAAAAGACAGAAAAACTAACATATTGCAGTGATGCCACACCTTAATGGATTAAATAAACTGATTACTTACCACAAGCGGACCATTAATGCCGGTGCTTGAAACCGTAGCTCCAAACCATTGATTTGATTTTGTATCAATTTGTTCATTTCGCTCATTGTAGTTGTTGCCTGGAATCAGAAATTAGAATTGAATTAGTTTTATGAATATTTTGATAGATTGCAGTGAATTATAGATTTTGTCGTGCGAGAAGTGCTGAATGTAGCTTAATTTTGCTGAATTCAATTTATATTTTGCTGAATTTAGTTTAATTTTACAGAATTAAGATTAACTTTATAGAATTTAGTCAAAATTTGCTGAATTAAGCTTACAATTTGCTGAATTCAGCTTAAATTTGCTGACTTGTAAAATTTTAAATCGAAAATCCGTTAAAAATTTAATTTTCTTGCACAACAATAATCTAATAATAACAAAACGAGTTAGTGGATTAAAAACTATAGTGATATTGTCACTTGAAACTACAAACTAATGTTCATCTACGTCTACTAAATTGGAGCTTTAAAAGCAGACAATAATAAATTGCTTTAAATGCTTCAATTCTTATCTAAATATTTCCATTTTTCTTATATTTATCTATAATCTTATTTTCTCAGCTAGAACACGATGAATGCTCATCACCAACAACCCACCTTTAAATGTAACGACACATTGATCCGGGCCTTATTTTATTTTAACAAATTTTCATTTTTTTTCGAAAGCGTAAAATAGTTTAGAGAAGAAAAAGTAAGATTTTGTATATGGAAATGAGACACTTTATTGTGTGTTATACATAGATTTATGAGAAGTAATTGCGTTTTTTGAGTAATTTATGTGATGAATGATATGGAAGATTGAAAATATGTTTCTTTAATTAAATGATCTCTTTTGATCTTGTTTGGTTTTTAATGAGGAATTAAAAATGGAAACAAAAAAATGTTCTAAATTAAAAATATTAAATTTATTGTCATAAAACTAAAAGAATTAAGATTTACAGTAATGTTAACTTTGGTTTTGTTTTCCTATTTTCAACGCCAGGACAAATTCCCCCTATAAAAAGTTTTCCACAAACTTCATCCACACGTTGCCACAATTTCTCTCCATATTTTCTTACTGAAAAATCCTTTACAGTCTCCTTTAAACAGTCATCAGTGCATTGATTACGATAGTGGAGCATCAGAGCATCCTTTGAGTCTACATATTGTTCATGAGAGCCCTTGAGTGCATCCCATACATAGTGATTTCCTATTTCTATAACTTTATCACGCTTTGCTATGAGTTTTGTACGTACACGATTCCACTTATAATCACCAGTACTATGCTTGAGTCGTACGACTTTAGCTTGAGTGTATAAAAATTTATTGAGTGAATTTTCAGGAACATTTGAGTAGTCGCTATCAAATTTTCCAAAAACGAAGAAATTCTTGAATACAAATGAATGTATTGAGTCACGATCTTGATGAGTTAAAAATTCAGGAATTGTTTTATAGGCTATTGGAAGTATAATCTCATCGAAATCAGCAACCATGACATATTTGAAATTATCAACCATTGTCGCTCGATAAAAGCAGTCATTTAGTGTTGCCATAATTCCATAATAATGAATTGTTCCTTCATCCATACTCATAACTCGATCAATATCCCATTGTAAAACTTCAATTGTATTTACAGATTGATAATATTTGAACAACTTATCAACATCGTTTGTTATTGACATGTTGTAAAAGTAAAACTTTTCAATTCCCAAAAGTTTATAAAGTTCTACAAATTCAGCTATTCTTAGAGCATCTCCAAAATTATTCTGTGCTGGACCTGGACAAAGTGCAACTCCTGATTTATTCCGCTCTCTGAAATTCTTGTTTGGATACGTAATTCCTACAAAGTATTTATCAGTTGTGATATACTTTTCGTAATTCTCATGAGTAATCTGAACAGAATTTGGCTTAACAATTTGCTCACTATCGGTCGTGAGTATTATGAAAGGGCAAACGACAAAAAACCCAGGATAATAACCCCAAACAGCCTCATTTAATTGACTAACAGACAATGCTTTTGTTGTCTTGATTATTCCATTTGGAAACTTCAAATGACATCGAAATGATGATTCTTTAAATCTTAACTTCCAGTGCATTGTTCTAAAATTATTCAAAATTTAGCATCATTAAGATTTTCTGAACATTTTGTTCTCACGCAATAATTCTAATAGTCCCAATCAGACTAGCTTCAGGAACACTTCTCAGTTTATTGACATACTGTGCTAGAAAATATAATTCTATTTTAGAATCTTCAAATTCCTAAGTATCATGTAGCCTACCCGTCACATTTAATCTCGTATCAAGAAAAGCCGAATAAATGAAACAACATCTTGAACTCTTCATCATTCGCTTCCAAGTATTATTATAATTTGTTTCTGTATTATCATCATTATAAATTGTTGATATTTGAAGTGCTTTCAATGAATTCAATAAGAGATTTTCCTAATAAGAAAAGTAAACAGCAATTAGCAATGCTAATTTATCCTTATTATTATGTATGTAATTCTTACACATTGTTGAGCTTTGTAGTAGTAATGATATGAGATCATCAAAAATCCAATTAAAAGGATCACATAGCAAAAATGACTTGAACAGCAATACTTTCTGAGTTTCCTTTTAAAACGCTGAATCATTCTAACCATTGAACACTTTAATTATTAATTGTCTAGCTAAATAAATTTGACTAAATGCGGCTTCACCGCATCGAATATTTCCGAATACTAAGTGCATCGCATGTGGTAATAGTTTGAAAGTTTTATATCTGCTGATAAGAGTCATTTGATTTGTGTCTATACATGTTGTTATCATTTTTTTTAAGAATGTGTTGTAAGTGTAAATATAATACCAGTTTTGTTCACCTTATGTTAATACTTTTAAAATCTAATTTGTTAAGTGTTTGTGGGACAGAGTTGGTGTTTCTAATTTTGTAGTGATATGTTTCATTCGGAATAGGATTGATATTTTCCAGGGGTTGAAGTTGAACGAAATGATTAAAAAGATACCAAAAAATTTTAATTTAAGTTTGCTTAAGCAAAAGTTTCAACTAAAATTTTCGATAATCATTTTTCAAATAAATTTTGATCAAAGTTTTTTCGTTGAAAATTTTTCGATTAATTTTTTGAAAAAAAAAAATTTGTTTGAAAAGTTTTCAATCAAAATGCAAAGAATTTTGTTGCATAAAATGTTCCTTTTTAAGCATCGATTGCTCTTAAAAGTGTGTATTCTTTATTCATCTTTGCTTTTTTGTTCGGTAAATTGCACATTCACTTCCTTTTACTTCTGTTTTGACCCGTTTTAATGTTCAGAAAAAAATGAGTTTGGAAATTTCGTTGAAAATTATTCACTTTCGATCGAAATTTGCCTTGAAATTTTTCAATCAAAGAATGAACGAAATTTTTTCGGAAGAATTTTTCAACTAAAGTTCGATTAAAAATTTTGCTGAAAAATTTTTCGATTAAGAATTTTAGAAAAAAATTGTCAGAGTTTGAATAAAAGTCGAAAAAATTTTGATTGGCTTCAATCCCTGATATTTTCACTTAATTATACCTTAGAAGTTTGGATTCTTAGTTTACTATGTTTACAATAAATTTCTAATGCTGCTAGTAATAGCTCTGTTTTTACTATTGTAAAAACTTCAGAATTTAAGTAATTAGTGTTTTAAACTAAAATTTACAACACAAATCGCTGAATAATTGCTGAATGCGCTGAAAAGTGCTGAATTGAAAAATAGTTTTTAAAAATTACTGTTACTTTTGACTACTACAGTGGGGGAAATATTTATAAACGAGTTGGTATTTTCAAAATTCTCAAAAATATAAACAGTTTCAAAAAATATGTTCTATGTGAAAGTTGTGCAGTTTTGAATGACAAATAAAACGGTAAAAAAAATTTTTAACTATATTAACCAGGAAAAAAATAACGGTCATTTTTTGAAAAATATGCCTTTCGCAAGAGGAAATAATTATAAACGAATTTGAAAAAAATTTAAAAAATTGATTTTAAACTTGAAATTTACACGAGTTTTTAATTGATTAAGATATTTTAAGATTGTATGGATCTAATTTGACATAATACGCACAATAATTAATGGTTTAAATATATAAAATTTTGTCATAAAATTGGCAAGGACTGAGATGAAAAAAATCAATGTTTTATGACAATCTAGACATAATAGTACCTCAATTGCATATGAAAACGATAGATTTTATTGCAATTAACGGAAAACAACAAAGAATTTGTAAAAATATAGCCAGAATGAGTATAAATGAAGAAAAATTTGAATGACTCAGCCAATACAAAATGAGAAATTTTTAAAAAATTCTATCAAACAGAAGTTAAGACCACAAATTAAGGATGATTCCTTCTTTATTTTATCATATCTACGATTTAAATAATATATTAGAATGATTAAACGAGAAATATTTGCAAAAAGTTGTAAAAACTTTAATCAACAGCAACACATGAATTTGCAAAACTGTACTTTGTTAAAAAAATTATAGGAACCAGAAGTAAACGCTACAAACAGACATGCAATGAATAAAATAAGATAAATTTTGAAAGAACTGATAGTTTTGGGTAGTAATAGGATCATTTTAGCAAAAATTTAAAACTTGCATTGGTTGAAAATTTCAAAGTCACGCGCTTATTATTTATTCACATTTTTTTTGCAAATATATCTTGTTTATTCATTTTAATATCTTATTTAAATCGTGGATATGATAAAATAAAGAAGGAATCATCCTTAATTTGTGGTCTTAACTTCTGTTTGATAGAATTTTTTAAAAATTTCTCATTTTGTATTGGCTGAGTCATTCAAATTTTTCTTCATTTATACTCATTCTGGCTATATTTTTACAAATTCTTTGTTGTTTTCCGTTAATTGCAATAAAATCTATCGTTTTCATATGCAATTGAGGTACTATTATGTCTAGATTGTCATAAAACATTGATTTTTTTCATCTCAGTCCTTGCCAATTTTATGACAAAATTTTATATATTTAAACCATTAATTATTGTGCGTATTATGTCAAATTAGATCCATACAATCTTAAAATATCTTAATCAATTAAAAACTCGTGTAAATTTCAAGTTTAAAATCA